GCTAAAGGAACTGGAAACAGCAAAAGTTAGCAGCCCTGGCATCACTCCAGCTTTAGTATTTAAAGCATGTCCTTCAGAATTGATCATGCCCCTAGTTTTAGTATATCTATAACTCTGGCATCTACACAACAATGTTAAAAATTTCTCGTATATATCCAGTCCGCATAAAGGAAGACAAATCAGCACAATCATAGAGTTTGTCATTGACAGTGCTATCAAAGAGCACTTACACAGCAATATCCTGCTCACCAATATTCAATTCAGGTGCAGACAGGACATTCGACACCTGACCCTTGTTCCAAACATGGTCAAAAGAGCTGAACTCATAAGGTGATAATAACTGTCCTTGACATTAAGGCTGAGCATGGCATCAAGGATCCTGAATAAAAGTGAACTCAATGGGAATTTGAAGAAAACCCCTCTGCTAGTTAGAGTTCTACCAATCACAAAGGAAGATGGTTGCAGTTATTGAAAGCCAATAATCTCAACTGTAATGTATTGTTGCAGGAGTTCCTCAGGTAATGACCTGAACATAACCATTTTCAGCTACTTCATCAACAACCATCCCTCTAATAGAAGATTAAAAGTAGAAATGTTCCCTGGTGATTGCACATCATAGCACACTATTTCTGACTCCACAGATACTGAAACAGTCCACCTCCAAAAGCATTCAGGCTTGAGCAAAGGAATGGTTGCACCAGACACATTCAAACAATGACCATTACCAATGAGAGAGAGATAATCCAACTCTATCCCCTTGACATGCAAAGGCATTGCTGTCCACATGATTCACCATGGCCACATATGTTGGGATTAGCCAAGACATACATAAGTGACATTTCTTTACAGCCAATTTTATCAATGGCTGGATCTATATAACATGAATTGGTCGATAGTTGTGTGAGCTATTGAAACAAGTTTTAAATGAGCTTCCACATACACTGTGAAGAATTTCTTCACTTTGGTGAAGACCATACAAGAATTACAAATTGAGAGCAAAGCATGTCCATGTCCTTTATCAACTTTTCTAGTTTATTTATCAAAGTAACACTCAAGGAAGCCATTGACATTTGCATTATGTCACCATGTCATGACAAGCTAGATGTGCCACCAGTTTCTGAATGTGTTCATCAAACTCATGAACTTAGCAACTCGTGCAGTTGAGTTCAGTTTCAATAACATCATGTATGTTCAAATGGATGACATTACCATGGGATCCCTACCACGCCCAACTCTTGTTAACATCTTCATTGGAGACCATGAAAAGTGCACCTATGATGGAATGATAATTAACTCCTAACCCTTGCATACTTATCATATGTAGATGGCATGTTTTCCCATATTTGAATCCACAGCTGCAAAGAATTTCTTTTTCAGTTTAATAAACATGATTCTCCACTCAAATTTACCATAAAAATGCTGCAATCGAATGCATGCCCTTACAGCGATGTATTCGTTGAGAAATCTACCAATGGGTTCTCTAGTATCAGCTGCCAAAAGCCTACATTCAGTGGCCAATATATAAATTGGATTTGCTACAGTTCCATGCACTGCTAGATATGTCTTATTGGCAATCTCGTGAAAAGGGTCCTAGCCAGTTGCTCACTATATAAACTTGATACGGAGTGGGAGCAAATTATGGCAGATGCTTGACTCTATACTGAAAACAAAAAGTAGTAGAGATCACAGCGAGCCAGGCAGCTTCCATGATCCACATCAGCTCTGATGAAAAGTCATCTAGACCCAAAAATTTAGCTTACTCTCTTCTCTCCATGGATGCTGTGTGACCCACTGCGATCTCCACCACTTTTTGTTTTCAATCAAGCTTGATACTGAGACAGGGCATATCAGACTATCCTGCAAGATAACTGATATTTTGTTCAAATCATCACTTGTTCTATATTACAAAAACTCTTAAAGAGCCTATATCCACTACTTTTGACCCTGACAGTGACCAGTTTACCACAGATTACCCTGGAAGGGGAAGGTGTCCCAAAAACTTGAACAACTGATAAAGCTAGCTGTCTCACATTGGTACTTTGCAGTAAACCCATGAGTGGTTTTCAAACAAATTAGCATCAAGCCAAAAAGTAGGTTTTACCTACCACACAAATGAGTAGGGAGTTATAGGAGTTTCACTGCTGGTGTGATGCCAGTTATATAGGACTTATGTCACAATGATTGACATACCAAATCAACAACATGAGCCATTGACTATTCATAATAGACAGCATGTCAATTGTTCTCAACAAGGTCACACTTGCCACCCTCAGATGCATGTTCGCCATTAGACATAATTCTGCTATTGGTAATAATTTATTGAATGATCCAGACTGTGCTAAAAACTACAGCAGAAACCAATCCAAGATTATCAGTTGCATTCACATTGTTATGCATTTGCCTGTGCTAGATGCAACGTATGCTAGATCATAGATCATAGGATCCCTTCAGTGTGGAAACAGGCCCTTCGGCCCAACAAGTCCACACCAAACCTCAGAGCATCCCACCCAGACCCATCCCCCTATAACCCACCTAATCTACACCTCCCTGAAACTACGGGCAATTTAGCAGGGCCAATCCACCTAACCTGCACATCTTGGGACACAGGACCGTTTTATATAGGCATTCAAAAGGAATTCATACATACGTTGCAGCTTTTTAATTGAAAGAAGGTAGGTGGCATGGAGACTGATGATTTCTGCTTCATTCCCATGGCAACATCCTGATCAATCAAAGTTTCCTACCTGGTCTGAGAACTAACATAGGCAGTTAACTGTTTATACTGTATCTGTATTTTAACCAATTGGCACACTCTTCGCATGCTATATAAATTAGCATACGTTGTTTTAAATATGTTCCTTGTAAATTAGTCCTAATGAGTCTCTTCCTGTCTCCTTCTGCCAATTTTTGAGCAGCTTCATCATTGAATCACCCAACTACTTGTGATTATCATTGAATCAACTAAATATTTGTGATCATCATTGACCGGAAATTTAATTGTACTGACTAGAGAAGTAAGGTGACTACATGAAGTGTTCAGAGGCTGCAAATTCTTTGGTGAGCAACTCAACCCTTGATGTACTCAAGTCTGACTACCATTGACGAGTGACTGCAGCTCCAACAACATTAAAGAAGCTCAACCTCTGCTGGACAAATGAAGCTATCTGATCAGTCTCTCATCATACTTTAAAAATTTACTTCCTCTACTATCAGTGCAGAGTGGCAATTCTTGTGTCACACATGCATGATGGACTGCAACAATTTCATCAGCACCTTCCAAAGCAAATCCTTGACCATCTGAGATGAAAAGGACAGCAAATCCTAGGGAATACTATGATCTTCAAGGCTCCATGCAAGCAACACCCCATCCAGACTTGCAACTACATCTCCAATTCTTTACTGTCATTTGTTGAAAACTCTTCCGAATTGCGCTATAGATGTACCATCACCAAATGGACTGTACTGGTTGATGAATGTGGCTCACCATCATTTTTTACAAGTATAATCACAGTTTATCAAAAAATGCTGCCTTGCTAGCTATGCTCAAATAAAGAGAAATGGATTTGCACTCATTTGGTGCTTTATAGGACCACTGAACATCAAAAAAGAATTTACAGCCAATGAAAGACTTTTTCTTTTGAAGCGTGTATACTATTATAGAGGATACATAGGAGCTAAGTTGCAGTAAGCAACTCGCACAAGTAGCAATGACCAGGCAACCTGTTTATCGTGATGCTCATTTAGGAACATAATCTGGCCAAGACACTGGGGGTAACAAGCCTGCTTTTCTTCAAAATAGTGCGAGCAGACCTTTTACATCCACCCAGTCAAGAAGATGTGGCCATGGTTTAACATCACATTCAGAAGACAAAACCTTGGACCAGAACACTTCCTCAATTCTGTATTGGAATATCAGCCTTGATTGTATCGCTCAAGCTCCGGATTGGGATTTCTACTCAGATGTTTGTGATTTACAGGCAAATATGCAACCAGCTGAGCCACAACTAACACATCCTACGAAAGAATAAAAGAAATGTTCCAATGTGACAGCTGGCAACAAAAGTTAAGATGTGAGCCACAGTGGACCACATCTCTGCAAATATTGGTTTTATCCATTCGTGGCCTGAGAACATCACCGACAAGGATGGCATTTATTGCCCATTATTAATACGCTATGAGGAATGGATGATGAGCCTTCTTGACCTGTTGCTGTTCTTTATGTATAGGTACAACCACAGTGCTGCAAGGGAGAGTGTTTCAGGAGTTCGACCCATTTGCAATGAAAGAAAAACCAATATATTTACAAGTCAGCAAGTGTGCAAACTGTGTCACGAAATTGCACAAGGTGATGTTCCCATGCATCTGTTGTTCATCTTCTACCAGGTGGGAGAGGTCACATTTTCGAAGGTGCTGCCAAAGGAATTTTGCCATCTTCTAGAATGTTCACTTTGATGCCACTGTACACGAGTAGCAGGGAAAGAGAATGTTTAAGCTGTTCGAGGAAGTGCCAATCAGATAGTCTGTCTAGACATGGGATACAGAAATAGGAAAGGGTTGTGGGCCATAGGGGCATTTGAACACAAGGATGAAAACTCCAGCGCTGGAAAAGATTACAGAGAAATAAAAAGGGTGAGAATCCTAGAAGGATTTCAACAGGGAGATCAACGTTCCTGGGTTGGACAAGGTAGCAGACTGGAAGAGCCAGGGCCATGGAGGGATATGAACATGAGCCTGAAAATTGAGAGGTTGGAAAGGTTTACAATGACAAGTAAGGGCAAGCCCATGGAGCAATTTGAAAAGGAGGATGAGAATGATAGAGGTTGAAGGAGATTAAAGCAGGCAAAAGCTATGGATGATTTAAACAGGACAATTAGAATTTTAAAACCAAGGTACAGCCAGAACACAAGCCAACGTTGGTCAATGTACACTAGGGAGAAAGGGATGAAAGGGACCTGGTGTGAAATGTTTTAATGCAAGTTCAGTGAAAGCTGCTGATTTACCTGAGCAAATCACTCCTGCATGTTGACATCCAACACTGTTATTGACACCAAGTGGGTTGGCAAAGCATTGGTCCAGTGAGTGTTCTGTTCCATTACATCTAACCCCACTGAGCAGGATCTGCCCGCCCTCTTGTCCATAATAAGCCCCAGTTACTGACTTGAACTTCCCACAGTTCAGCTGTCTGCAGACAATGCCTCCGTTGCTGACATCCCAGCCGTCATCACAGACTGTGCCCCAGGTGGAATTGTAAAAGATCTCCACTCTTCCTGAGCAATTGCTGTTACCATTGGCCAGTCTGATAGGGAAAGATCCTGTCGGGGACACACAAAGTTAGATTATTCTTCTTCTATGGTTTCAGTCTCCATTTCCCTTTCCTCCATTAAGGAACAAAATGAGGCCATTCAGGTCTTGGGTTTTTACAAAGGAACAGCACATCATTCAGCCCCTTGATCTGATTATAGCAGAACAGGAGAAAGTCGATCGCCTGGAGCCAGTTATGCAGGAACTGGAAGGACACATTCACTCTGCTAAATAGATCAATATCTCAGCACTTCCAATGATTAGAGCATAGTCCTTTGTTGTACTCTATGGCACAAAATGTTCCAAACCTTTCAGCATGACAAAATATCACTGCTGACCTGAGCAAGTAATTCCAGCGTCCTGACTATGTGTGCAGTTGCTGAAATCCCTCTGCTCTCTCGGCCACTCATTGATGGTATCCTCTGTCCCAACACATCTAAAATTATCCAGCCAGAGGGGGTCTATTCCTGGGCCAAAGCTGCTGTTCACAGACATTGCAACCCCACACTTGAGATGCCTTCAGACAACCGAGGCATCCATGATATCCCACTCATGGTCACAAATGATGCCCTAGGAGGAATTATTGTAAATTTTAACTTTGAATTCAAGTCTTGACCACATTCCAATCTGAGAAGGAGCGGACCTGGAAAATCAGCAATACAACACATACTTTGTAAGCTGGTGCTCAAACATATCTTTTATCTATTTTGCTTGTTACATCTGAAAGAACTCTAACAAATTTGTCAGGTGTGATTTGCCCTTCATGAAGCCATGATGACTCTACTTGATTATATTATATATTTCTAAATTATCTGTCATTACACCCTTTCTAATAGGCTAACATTTTCCCAATAATAGGTGTTGCGGTAAATGGCCTATGGTTCCTGTTTTATGTTTCCTTCCTTCTTTGAAGAAGAGTTTCATTAGCAGTCTGATAATATCCCAGCACTTTTCCAGAATCTAAGGATTCATGGAAGGTTACTATCATTCTGTGTTGTGCATTAAGCCAGTGCTGCTACCTGCCCTTTGAGTTACGGATCTGAAGCATACTGGGCTCTAGCTGTCTGCACAAATCCTGTCCATGAGGCTGCCTATTCCATATATCTAACAAAGGGTCTTCAATTCCTCAGGAACCAGGATACTTACTTATTTACTTTTGTACACAGTAGGATATCAAATACAGCTCTCTAGCGTAGTGCTTAAGGCATCTCTCTTCACTTAATCATTTACATTGCTGTCTTTTCTCTCAAAGACTTCAGAGTCATGTGATGAGTTGCAGCAACATCATTTATATGAATCTGATCATACAACTTTTATCTGGATTCTTGTCTAGATTAAACACTAGATCGATCAATTCTGGATGCCATCGTAATACCAGACTTTGAGACACTGTTGCAACATGAGTGCTATTAGGCACATTGAGTACACAGGACCAGGATGCAGAGAGTGTTACCCTGTCAGTGGGCCAGGGCTGAGAAAGAGCTGCACTGTTTGTGGGCCAGGATGGAGACAGCGCTGCACTTCCAGTGGGCCATGACTGAGAGAGGCCTGCGCTGTCAGTGGACCAGGAGTAAGAGAGCACTGCGGTGGGCCAGAACTGAGGCAACTCTGCACTGGCAGTGGGCCATGACTGAAAGAGTACTGCACTGTCAGTGGGCCAGAACTGAGACAGCTCTGCAGTGTCTGTACTGCACTGATGATAATGAAAACTGTTGTGCTGTGGACGGTTCTGCCAAATGGCAACATCATGTTTAATGGACAGATTTGAACATGAAGCTGTGATTTGCTCCAATTAAGGACTAAGCAGACACTGGAAGATACTTAGGGCTTCGGAGAGTTTTAAAATCGTCAGGCTGCATTTTCCCCTGCTGAGATGCCAAGCATGATGGTGAGGGAGGTGATTTAACTTGGAGACATTTTCTCAATGACATAGATTTGAATTCTGTACACTTGCCCAATTGAGTCATAGAATTCATACAGTGTGGAGGCAGGCCATTCAGACTGCCAGCAGCCAACAATCCAACTTGAAATGAGATAGTATAGATGAAAGTATAGATAGGCACAATATACCAACGGCAAAAAGAGCAGAAAGAGAAAGTAACCTGGACTGATAATAAGGATACTACAAGTTTTTCTCTGCCACTCCCTCTATCTCAAGAAGTTGACTGACAAAAAAGAAACTTGGTACCAGCACTGCCAGACCTTCAAATGAGCACCCCACCCCATCCTTGTGACCCTACCTTTCCCATGGCTAATCCCTGGACACTATGGGCAATTTAGCACAGCCAATCCACTTAACCTGCATATCTTTGGATTGTGGTAGGAAACTGGAGCACCTGGAGGGAACCCACATAGACATCGGGAGAATATGCAAACTCAACATAGACAGTCGCCTGAGAGTGGAATCGAACCCGGGTCCCTGGTGCTGTCAGGCAGCAGTGCTAACCAATGAGCCACCGTGCTGCCCCAAGTCCTTGTGCCTTAGATGATGTTTTCAGAATCTCAACATCAGATGGTGAGCAGATTATTCCTATGTATTTTCATATCATTAATAGCCCAGCATGCCATAATAATGTCACATTCCTGATGTTCCTTTCCACAATTGAAAAACTCAATATCAGAAAATCTCATCTGGTAATAAAGAATAGGTACATGCTGACTTGTGTCATTAGTATCCACTGCAGCTAATAGAAGATCAATGACCAGCCTGGCTGTGCTGGTCATTGATCTTCTATTTACACAGAACTCTTTCTCTTGCTCCATAATTAATGGTCCTGCTCTTCCTGGATCTTTCATCCACAAAACTAAGCATCGGCAAAACACAAACCTCACAACTTCATCTGTCTTAGTCTCTACCCATCTCAGTCACTCTTTTAAGGAATTGAGCACATACTTTGGAGTTGATGGACAGCCAGCATTTACACACTTGTTGCAAGTCGATTTGTACTGAGAAACAGCCAGTGCAAACAAGTTGGGGAATATATGTAGGTTAGGTTGCCCATGAGAGGTCAATCCAGATGGTGGGCCATGGCCAGCCATGGCTGTCCTGCCAAGTCAGATGGTGGGTTGGGTCACAGTCAGTCTGGGGGTTTACTCACAAATACTCGGGGACTTATCAGAAAACAGTCTTTGATGTCTGCAGAAAGTGGGCATATCAAATCCAGCAATGGCCTCATTGTACTAGGTTACTGAATGAATGGTGACAGTGCTACAGAGAAGTAGGATGGGATGCCATAATTAATCAGAGGAGAACAGAAGCATTCAATATGTGTGCAAGCAAATCATGGTACCTTTGGTCTCTATATTCTGGTGGGTGTAGGACTACCAAAGGCATAAGAACCTCCAAAGTCATAGGTTCTGGGGGTAAAACAAGCTCCTTAATAGTCATATAAAGGGGTTTAATGGAAACAAGGGAAGGCTGAATGATTATCAAGGCCACAGGAACAGCAAACCAAAAGAGAATATGGAGAATTGGGGGATAACTCAAAGGGTCACATGAGGAGCCTGAAGGTCACTCATGCAAACAGTAAGTTAGAACCTCACCAAATTGTATCGAAACTCAACTGCACAAGTTCACAAAATGCCTTGAACAACAAGCCAAGTGAAAGGAGTAATTAACTTTACTTCTCCACAGGCAGAGTTTACAACATTGTTGAAGTGGCCCTGCAAGGAGCAATTGCAAAAATCATGTTCCCACTGATTGCTACCCATCTACCTTCAATTCTGATTTTACCTGGTGGTCAGGAACTGTCAAAGATTGTAAATCTCTCTAGCATAGATGCCAGTGCTGTAGCTGTACTTGAACAGCTTGGCTATGGGTGTGGCCAGTTCTGGAGCACAAGTCTTTAATACAATTGCTGGAATGTTGTCAGGGCCTATAGTCTTTGCACTACGCAGTGCCTCCAACCATTTCTTGATGTCACATGGAGTGAATCAAATTGTCTGAGAACAGGCGGTTATGATGCTGGGGACCGCTGGAGCAGACCCAGACCCAGATGGATAATCTACTGACCTAAAATGGCTTCTGCATTCATCTCACAAACTCAGGCAACCTATACATAATCTACAAAACCAGCTGTTGTGGAATTTTGATTTTAATCAACAGACACTGTAAGTCTGTCAGCCACTAAGAAATGGGCTTCTCTTGTTCCACTCACATAAGCTTCATAAATTCACAACTGAGAGACAAAATGTTGCCTACAACAATCCAACTTGTAATGAGATAGTATAGATGCCAGGCACAATATAGCAACAGCAAAAAGAGCTGAAAGAGAAAGTAACCTGGACTGATAACAAGGATACTACAAGTTTTTCTCTCCCCATGTCTCTATCTCAAGAAGCTGACCGATGAAAAAGAAACTTGGTGAAATGACCAAATACTAAGAAATCAAGGTTACCTACAAGCTTTATGAAGAGAAAATAGGACATAGCTAAGCTGTTGGCCTCAGGGCTCTAAAATCATTAAATTTCAATAGCCTTTACCTTCTGTCTGCACAAGCATCCCTCTCCTCACTTCCTTGTATGTTTATCATGTGTTTCTGTAAGGATTTTATTTATCTGAGGTTTAACAAATAATAAAACTTAAATGTCTTTCATTCAGGAAAGCCTTCGAATTGGATCTCCTTCATTTTGATCTAGATAACTGCATTCAATTGAAGCTTGATAGCTATGTACTAAATAACAAGACATTGTGACTGATCAAGCCAGGTTTAAAAGAGGCAGTTGAATGCCCTTCCTCATTTATAGCACTGATGCACAAGCACACAATTTCAACTCAATACAACCCTTCAGGCAAAGAGACACACAAACACATCTGTATGATATCACACATTTATACTACCCAGCTGTCTCTCCTAAGCCCTGTGTCTATCTCAAAATAATCTTCTGTGTTGTACTCTTACAATCCCCTTTAGCAATCCAAAACAAATGCCACTGCCTCACATTCTCCTCATAACCTGACACAGTTCCAAACTAATTGCATTGCCCTGCATATTCCCATAGCCCTGTATTG